GACACTCACCAATGTCGACGCGGGCTTCAGACCAATCGACGGAGCGTCGAGCCTGAGAGAGCAATGGTCCAAAATTAACTTCTTCGGTCTTGCAAGATGTCACTCTCGGCTCGATCGGACTTCTCGTGTGCAAGTTGGAGCTCTCTGAAGACGACTCGGAAGGCGAGCGCAAGTTCATGTCAACATCTTGTCCCGTGGAATCGGTAGAAACGGCTTCGTAGCTCCGGACCGAAAAGGTTTGGCTGACCGCATTATTGATGTCGTCCGGCAGACTAAGTCGCAGGATTGGTCTGGCTCGGCCAGGCCTTGCGACAGAAGCAGGCCATCCGTGCGAGCATTCCACCGGCACATCTAGCGTGTTCGCATGCTCATGCCCGTCCTGGCTGAGAGCGGGAAGCGAAGCCGCGCCGTGGGGAGTCTTGCTCTGCTTCTCGCTAACAGAGATGGAAAATGCATCCGTCATATCCGAGTAATCGCTTCTATTCAAGTTAGGCGGAGCGTCTATGATGGCGACTGGTAGCTCAAGCGGCAGAGTGGACGATAGAGCGTCGCATGTCGTGGCCATACCAGTGTCCAGCCAAGGCTGCGGGATGGGTGACGGCGCAGTCGGTGTGGCCCCCGGAACGTACAAAGACCTGAATGAGTCGGTCGACGGCGACGTGGCCTGTGAGAGAGGGCGCTGTGAGCCAGCGCTGCGAAGTATTCGTAATCGCGCAGAGACTTACCAATCTGCCATGCGATGGTACAGGGCTCATAAAAGCTCTCGTCGCTGCTGAAATGGTACTTGAACGGCGGCGAGCAGGGCCTACATCCAGGATGGGTGCGAAATTTGAGGATGGCGACATTGGGCGGTGTACAGGGGGGGTTTCAGTCGTACTCGGCAAGGGTGTCGTCATCCACCCTGACAAAGCATCGAGAACTCTATCAGCAGAAGGTCCCCGCAGTGCAGTGGCGTCGCTGGCTGTCGCAAGCGTAATACCAAATGACTGAATTGTAGGTCCTTGGCCCGGCTGAAAGCTTGACTGTTCTTGTGCATGGCCATGCTGATACGGGTGCTCGTCCAGGTACGGCACTTCACCATTCGTTTGGGCCTGAGCCAAAGCAGCGTACGCGCCTTGTAGTGGTGGGCGAAGATCGTAGAACGTAGAGCCTACTGAGCCGCTGTAGGTGAGACTGCGTGTGCGCGACGGTCTGACAGGAGACACCAAGCCTTGGTGCTCCATCGTGGTACGATGGCACTCCAGTGCAAGTGCGTATCTTAGAGCCTCGTTCGAAGCCAAAGACTCATTCGACGGACGTGATTCACCGGCAGAATCTAGATCGTGGACAGGACGCCAGGTCGAGTTGTCCGCCACGGACACTTGGATTTTGGGTACTTGCCCTACCACAGCTGGAGTGGGCGGCGACATTGAGGAGCTTGAGGTCGCTGCATGGTCATCGACTAGAATTGTAAGGGCGAGACTGACCCTACCTTTGAATCTATGTCATCATTCAAGACTTCACTCACTTGTGTGATTCGAAGCGGAGCCCGAAGCTTGATGTGAGACGAGGAAGCTGGGGTCGAAGGCGGCGTTGGAGCTGAAGGTTGGCTCATACGAGTTTGGAGTTGACTCAGGACTGCTTGCAGCTCGCAGGTCGACATATTGAGAGAAATCGAAGCTCACTGTTGGGAGGATGCGCATCCTAAGGTTAGCTCCGACACCTTAGCAGACATTACAATCTGATAGAGAGGAGGCACCATCTTTCAATACGCACGGCGTGTTGCTGCCTTAGACGGTGTTGCGAGATAGCCATCTTGACAGCGAAAGGACACTTGGTCTTCAGGAGAAAGTAGAGGTTTGGAATCCAGTGATAGCTTGTCAAAACGAAGCTCTTCTGACTCTTGGTGCCACGACATGTTGGCAAATCTAGCTCTGATTGCACGCGTGGCTCTTGTATCAAATCTGCAGGCATGCAGACCTGGCTGATTCAAGCGTAAACACAAAGGGCAATCATCAGATACGGCTTTGACTCTTTCCAGACTCAGCTTTGCCGGAATGTCCAATGCAATTACTTACTATTGGAGACTGAAAGCCACAGTTCTTGTGCTGGTAGACGATATTCGTCATACGACCGGTAGTACTCCTCTGCTACTGTTCCCAGACAATCGCGAATGTCAAGGTGTCATCTACACAAAGCGAGGTGCTTTTCTCTTGTTGGCAGCCTGGGTTGCAAGTCCCGCTGTATTCGCGATTGCGCTTCGAGGATCAAGCTCTCGCGGCTAATCTGTTGAAGGCTTTAGTGACCAGCGGGAGTGGTGACCAGTCGAAGAGCTCACGGCTCCCGCCTTGCAGAGGCCAAGGCTCTAGCCGATCCTTGATTTACCTAAGACTTCAGGACTGGATTCGGTGCTCTTCTTCAACTTGGGTTATCAGTCGTTGCAGTAAGTAGCACCTTGGTGAACTTCTCAGTGCCAATCGCAGGTCGAATGGTTTGAGCTGAGCAGACAGTCAGCTTGTCCAGTCCAGCAGGATGCTCGAGGCCCGGAGACCTAAGTAGAGTAGTAGAGGCGTGGCTTGGAGATGTGGGCAATTGTCTGAAATACGCTAGTGGGGCGCTCTTGTAGGATGCTTGAGGAGAGAAGAGCTGCTGCGCACTCGTCTGTCGAAGCAAGTCCACGCCCAGCTAGGCCCTTCAAAGTGATTTCTCCGAGCCCGAAGTCCGTCATGCGACCTTACGCCTGCGACGCCACGATATGCCCTTGGCAGACTCACGGCTCCAGCCTTGACTGCATGCGGCAATCAAGAATGCGTGGCAGTGAAAGGGGGCGCTGGTCTATCCTGGTCAAGTCTGAGTAGCAGCGAGGCGATACCGATCCTCAAGCAGGCGACGACTGCATGTATGGGACGGTGATTTCTCCAATCTCGCAGAGAGCAAGGCGGCAGTTGAAGTTGAGCGGTCACAGGATGCGGGCTTGGCGCTGAGAGAAATTGCTTTCACGTCTGCTCACAATCAGCTAGATACGTATGTAT